GGCAAGTTTGAATTATCCATTGTATTTGCACAAACTACTACCCACTGATCTGACAAGCCATTTCAATGAAATGTAGTTTGTTGTACATTGCTTCACATATACTCACCTGGAAACAGAACCATTGATGTGGGGATACCTTTGGCCTTCACAGCATTATACATCATTTCAGCCTGGTTTGGTAACACTATCTATTAAATAAGAAATGAATAGAATCTGTTTTCACAATACCACTGGCATGCACCATTGTTAAATGTTTTAGTATACCTGACAACATGCTGTCTTGGGGTGCTATGTTTTGTGCATGCAGCACAGGACCTAACTAAACTGCAATTCTGTAAGGAGGCCACTGATTGGTAGATTGGAACAAAACCTGGTGTGCATATTATATTACGAGGGCTGATGTTTCGTGATGTTACATTTGGCTGACTTGACATTAGGGTTTCATGTTGTTTTGAACCAAACTCTTGGATAGGTGCATGTTTGTGCTTGGTGAACTGTTACGCTCATGTGTCTGCGCAGCTATGAAAGCATCGAGGGACAGAATTCATATCAGAATTCAACAATGCTGCCTGCATCACAGCCAGTCTATGACTGAGGCCATGATGGTTGATCATTGAAAGACACCAGGTAACATACCATTGCGCACACACACAAACACCACCGGATATTCCCAAAATTCAGAGTGGGGATTTATTGTAATAAATCAACAGGATGGACTAAAGATATTTTTATAGAGGCACTCTGTCAATGATAACCCACCTTATCATCTTCTCCTTGAAAGAATGCTACTGGAACACTGAGTGAATCAACAGAATGGATTGGAGACCTTTTGATATATACATCTTTTTTTTCAGGATATTTACCAATCATGGTATCTAAATATCGACTTTCAAATTTATGTGTTTCTTTTGCTAATGCCTCCAAGTCAGCAACCCCATAATGGCTGACACCTTGCAACAAAAATAACAGATATTAACTATTAATTTCACAATTACAGTTTCTCTTCCTATCCTGTTGTACATAGACATTTCAGAATTATCATTTGCTAGACACGACTTGCATGACACAACTATGATTATTACCCCTCATAAATAACAGATGATTTGTAATAATTGATGGTATGATAAATATTAATCATGGACAGATGTTAATATCGGCTTGTAAATTGGCATCTCATTACTGCATTTAATATTGGCATGCATAATATTTGGTTATTGCAAACATTTATAAAATGAAGTACATGTACAATAATAAATCAAGTTATTTAATGAATCATTGTATATACAAATAAATGATATTAATTTAAAAACTTCCCTGTTGTATATAGTCAGCTAAATTTATAATGTCTGTATCTCTACATGAAAGTAAATATATTTTTACTGTTATTCATCTTGATTTAACCATTGCCAAGTGGCTGTTATTGCATAGGATGGTATTTTTGGCCTATAAAATTTATAGTTTATATTTGATCGGAACAAGAGATTTCATCCTCCCTTCCTGGTAACTGTATGTATGTGATATATGATTTGCTCACCTGCCTTAAAGACATCTTTGAATGTCAGACATGCAAGAGTAGTGTAGCCACCAGCAGAACCACCAGAAATGGCCAATTTATTTATGTCAACTTGCTTTGTTGTTTTGGCAAGATACAAGGCACCATAGCAACTGTCATCAACATCATAAACACCCCAGCTTGTGATGAAAATACAAGAAATATATTAATAGAACAAGACTGGGAATGTTGGTGTGAAATAGACACTATAAATATACATCAATTAGTAGAATAGGTTTTCACAAGTATCGGGCCTGCATTTACATGTATTGGGTAGTTAGCAAATTTGCTCACTGATATGACCATCGCAAACCATGCAAAACTTCATAAAAATTAGGGTTATTTCACTTACTTTTCTTGTAGCTGATTTCTGTATTCTGTACCATAGCCTGTACTTCCTCTGAAATTGACATCAAGGACAGCAAAACCACGACTTGTGAAATACTGATGATGTAATCCTAAATCTGATGAGCAAGCAGAAGTAGGTCCACCATGTATTTGTACGAGTAATGGCGGTAGACTGCCCTCTGGAGCCTTAAAATCCTTGTTCTGTTGACAAATCATAAAGTGTTGAACTCTATGATAGAGTAGAGCACATGACAATAAAGAACTCGCAAAATGGCGTACTGTTTTAGCTTTTTTGTATTATTTCTAATTGTTTTAAGTAGCCTCTCACTAAATAAGATATATTTGTGAAATACCATCCCAACATCCAATTCAAGTAATGAATCAAGTTACTTTTTTCAATATTCACGGAGTAATGTAATTATGTTTTCCAATTATTTAACATTGTCTCAATTGAAGTGACAATAGCTAAAGGTTGAGTATTTGTCATTTTGCAGATTGTAGATTTCAATAGATGGCTCTGTCTGGAGACCTGGACACAACCCCACAGCCATCTTTTTTCACTTGAAAAGTTTTTAATGTACGTTTGTATATAGCATATATGCTATGCATTCAGTGCCAACATTTTTGTGATGACCATTACAAATTGACACTAATGATATAGACAATCTTGTCCACATTTGAATTTACTTTTTTTTATGTTCTTCAATATTTCTAAAAATGAACCCTAATTTTGGAGCCAACAGACAAAATTTTAGTCGATTTTCAGTTTTTAGTCAACAAATTTGGCTCTTTTTGTCTCTATCTTCTGAAGGAAATTGCAGACTATAAATGGGACTATTTTGTGATGAAAAGGAGGGAACTGGTGGTGAAAAGGTTAAAGGAAAAGTGATTGCTTACATTTGGTGGATAAAAATAAGCATATGCAGTCTTGTCATCAGCTGTGGGAAAACTGATTGGTTGAGCTATACTAAGATAACCTTCATCAATATTAATTGGTCGAGATTCACGGATGATGTCAGTCTGTGTAAGAAACAGAAATACGGTACTAATATTAAGGTAACTGTGAAGACACATCAATATACGACATTCTACTGAAGTATGCAAGGTTACGCCAAAATGTCATTTCCAAAATTAGTTTAGACTTTAAGATGTAGATTTCAATACAAATGCAGCATATGCACAATAATGTTCGTGCCATAATTGTGCCATCATTTTTCGATGCAACATTTTGATATATTTTTCATTATTTTTGTGATTATTTTAGACATAATTTCTTATCAATAGGCATTGATCAAAATTTCAGAAAAATATAAATCAAAGAAACCTTAGAAACAAGTCTTGTGAGTATTTGTGGCATGAAGTACAAATAAGGACTACCATATTTATTATATTAGAAGCACATCATCACATGATATTACAGTTGTGTATATTAATGAGGTCACAGTTTATCCAAATTATGTAATTATATGCATAGATTTCAATCCTAAAGTAATCACTGACAAGTATGTGGATATCCAAACGATAAATTATTATGCAAAGTAGATTATTAATATGCACCATATTCAACTAAAACAGTTTCACAGTGTCTATGTACCATGCAAGTTTCATTGAAATCTGCACAAAGAAGCAGACTTTATTTATTTTATGAAAAGTGTGACAAAAGCTTATATTGAGTGACGAGCCTAATTAATTGACTTCATAGATTAACTACAATTTAATTTGATTTTCTCCAATCATTAACATACAAGAGGTGTTGATATACCGGTAGATACCGGTATGCAATTTGACAGGAAAGACTCTGATTACAAGTACAATCTGTGATTACCTTTCCAGTTGCCACATTAACTCTAATAATACAGTTGAACTTGGTAGGACTTCCAGCATTACAGTAGATATAACCATCATAGGAATAAGAAATATTACGATGAGATGTAAAACCTGTATTGTACTTGCGTAATATCTTCTTTGTATTTAAATCGCATAGTTCAAGATCCTGTGAATAAGAAGTTCATGTATTTAAAAAAAAAATAACTAGCAATAAATTATTTAGATTATTTCAAAAATATAACTTGTTCAATCAGGATGTTTTCTCACATTGAAGTAGGACACATTACATTCATGTTCATAGATGAGACAATGTATATTTCAGAATGTACAACACCCATACGCAACGAAACTGGGGAAAGATTGATGATGCTATTGGTCCTCACCAGCATTTGAAAGGAACCTATTAAATGTTCTTTTTTTGAAAGCTAACTTGAACTTAATATAAATAACAAATGACATAGCTTGCAACATCTGTTGCCGCATACCAAACAAGGCATCCCCACCAGTAAAGATCAAATTAAGTAAAGAATTAAGTTGGTAGAAATCCTTGATTATAGGACTGTGGCGTATCATTAAGGTTTAGGGGTCAGGAAATCAGAATGCAATTTGCATATCTTGTCTTCACCAGAACAATATGACCATCACACACACAAGTTTCAAAATGACTAGAGTAGAATTTCTGTAGTTTGATTTGTTTTTTGAAGTATGATCATTTTTATCTTCTTCAAGAGATATTACGAGTTAATAAATATTATTATTATTATTATTATTAGTATTATTATTATTATTATTATTACTATTACAAACCCCGCCATATGTAGTAATACAATGTCCACTTCCTTGTGGATCTAGTTTATATGAACATGTACCAAACTTCCATGCAGGTCCACCTATCTCTCTCTGCTGTTCAAATAAAACTTCATGTTCTCCATTTTTCTGAATACGATACAAATTCCACCATTTTGTTTTATCACAAATATAGTATAACTCACTGGAGGGCGACCAACTCGGTGATCGAACACTGACGTTACCGATATCTATCTGAAAATTAAAAACAGTACATCATTAGTC